TTGGGATAATATATCTTGTCACTTAGTCAGGGTGTACGATTATAGCCCATCAAACAGTGCATCCTCAACTCTAGCTGAGCTGACTCACAGCAGAAAACAGGCCTCCCAGCCACTGTCCATTAAAGACATCTATACTAGCTGACACCTCCCCACCATAATGACACTATACCGCAATCCCATGCATCTCCGAAGCCGCTTCTCTCCCGTCTTCTGAATGATGAATTTGACAAACATGAGAAAAAGCCAACTACTTTACTTCTTTTGAGTTTCATTATTTTCAACTCAGGGTGAATTATTAGACGCTAAGAGCAAAAAACATAGGATAGTTCACCCAAAAATGAAAGTTTGTGATTATTTACCTCGTGTTGTTCCAAAGCAGTATGCTGCCTTTATGGAAAACATTCTTTTTCCATACAACAATAGTTCACGGTGATTATGGCAGGCAGAGCTACAGTAAATAAACGAAAACTCCACGACTGGTGCGCTATATTCTTCAGAAACCATATCATAGCTTTGTGTGAGGAACAGATTGAAATTTAAGTAATTATTCACACGCTCAGAGGCGTGTCATACCCAAATGTAATGCATCCAAACATACTGTTGTTCAAAAAAGTTTGGGGTTGGGAAGATTTTGTTTTTATGTTATGCTCCCTCCATTTATTTAATTAAAAAAATGTATAGTAATATTTTGAAATATTATAACAATTTATAATAACCGTTTTCTATTTTAATTTATTTTAAAATATAATTTATAGCTGTGATGGCAAAGCTGAATTTTCAGCAGCCAATACTTCGGTCTTCAGTGTCACATGATCCTTCAAAACTTATTCTAATATTATTCTGATTTGGTGCTAAAGAGAGACGCATAGATTAAGACGCAGTGGAAGGAACATTTTCCAGTATAGAATAACCTAAATTTTAGGCTATTTCTCACACAAAGTTATCATAAAGCTTCAGAAGACTCAAAATATTGTGTACAAGTCATATGGACTACTTCTGTCTTTTATGGTGTTTTTCAGTCTTTTTGGTTTTAGAACACTAAGAACTGTTGTTTATTTAAAAAAAATTAAAAATAAAAGATACTAAAGATTGTAGAGTAAAGATTGTCTGACGATGAAAAAGCACAAACCCTTATCAATAACAGGGTCAGACAATCATAGCACAAATTGTGAGATCTTAAACATGATGAGAACAGAACAGTCCTGGGGTACCTTAAGTTTAGAAAATAATCAAAGAACTTCCTCAGATGCAGCATAAACCAAAATAAAACTGGCTTGCAGGGCTACTCAGTAATCTCATTCAAAACTGTGTCAAAGACATCAAGACAAGGTCATTCAATCACCACCTGCTGACAAGGTGAAAATACGCTTTCTAGAAGCAACACGGCTTTTATGAGGCATTCGCTAGCTCAAATATACTATAAAATTTCATATAACAGTGTAGGTTTGGAAAAGCACCTCTCATAACCTTTCAGCAATATAAGGTAATATTTGGCACTGGGGTGTTGAATTTAAACATTAAGCCTTCTACTTATGCAAAAAACAAATACAGGACATATTACAAGTAGTTGACATGTAGTAGGTTGGGTACATTGTGTAATAATTTCAAAATAAACCTGCTCTATTTTGGGGCATGCTCTAAAAACTGTACAAATAATTATAAGGTCAGGAAATGTATTCAATTTTCTAGGCTAATTTCCATGCTAATATAATTTGCTCTGTGTCCACATGGGATTCATCCAGTTTTGAAATGACTCTGCTGTCATTACGCATGAGGATAAAACTGCCAGTCAGAGAAGACAGAGTTTGAGAAAATGTTATCAAATCATACAAACTGTTGGCGCAGTCAATGCCCATGTCAATACATCAGAGAAACTTCGATAGTTTAGGGAACAAGATGCAAAGCAGTGGATGAAGTAGGACTCGCATCCACTGAGAACACAACTGTATAAATTAGTTTAATCTCACATCAGCATTGTCATGACTGTATTTCTTGGCTTGCTAGTTCGCGATCACTGTAGTTTACTTGGTACTCTGTGAATTCATTTCATCAAAATGCTTCAAATCTGGCTAAAGCTGTGCTTCTGTTTAACATAGTAGGACAATCCCTCAAATGAGTACTGATGCTCCAAAATGAAAATTCTTAGAATAGTGCAATATACTTATACCACACATAGAGAGGGTGCAAGTCTCTGGAAACAAAAACTTAATTCCATCAATATATCATCCATCATTATTTACATGATGGATGATGATGGATCATTTGACATGCTTGCTGCTTTTTTGGACGTCAAAGATTCTGTTACTAAGGGTGCTTTCACACTAGCACTTTTGGTGCGCACCCGGGTTCGATTGACGTCAGAGTTCGGTTCGTTTGGATGATGTGAACGCTGTCTTCCGAACTCGGGTGCGCACCCGCGAACCGTACCCGAGTCCGCTTAAAAAGGGTGGTCTGGGGTACGGTTCATGTGAACTCCGGTACGGTTCGCTGCTGATGTGAATGCAATCGTACCAAATCGCGGAAGTGAACCGCTATTAATGACGTATTGTTTGATAAAAATGTGTGTTTGTGTGTGTGTTTCACTCACTTTCCTGACGAGCGTGACTGACGCGCTGCAAATAGAGAGCTGTATATCTCATTTCTGTTCGTCTTCAGCATTCTTTAGAGCATTTGCAGTACATTCGTAAGACAGATGTAAGTGCCGTTATGTACCGAAGCTTTGTAAACAAAAAGAACGGTTCAAAAATGTAAATATATAAAAGTGCAGAGAGCAATGTTATGCATTTGCCGCTTTCTCCTGTGCCATCGTTACTAAGCAGCTGCTGTAAACAGCTGCTGGCTTGATGACGCAAACGAACCGCGGTTCGGACCCAAATAAAATAATATGAACGCAGTCCAGCGGGGGCAGGGGGAGGGGGGAGCAATCGAACTCGGGTTCGGACCATAGACTGTATCGGACCAGGCAAGTGAACCAAGTGTGAAAGCACCCTAAATGTTATTTTCTTTTCAAACTTTCAGCCAAAATTTCCGGTTTTATACATTAAATGTTATTTTAAATGCTATTAAATGTTTATTTATAAATATTTCATAGCTTTCCTTTGCATATATTCTTAAAGGGTTAGTTCACCCAAAAATGAAAATTAGCCTGTGTTTTACTCACCCTCGAAGCATCCTAGGTGTATGTGACTTTCGTCTTTCAGACGAATCCAATCGGAGTTATATTACAAATTGTCCTGGCCCCTCCAAGCCTTTCAATGGGGGTAAGCGGGTGTTTGTTGTCAACAGTTCAGAAGACGTGAAATAAAGTGTGCGCATCCGTAATAAAACGTCCCTCACACGGCTCTGGGGGGTGAATAAAGGCCTCCTGTAGCGAATCCATGCGTTTTTGTAAGATAAATATCCATATTTCAAATGTAATAAACACTTTTTTTCTCACTTCCGCTGACTGTGGTAAGCGGAAGACGTTCAGGCGGATGACGTTCAGGCGGATGACGTAGGCGTCGAGCACGCGCCTCTGAGAAATGCAGGAGCAAAGGAAGCAAAGTTTATTTACTTTAGCAAAGGAAAACCAGTCTCCTCTTGGCTTATATCGAAATCCTCCGACATTTTTCTTTACAAATCCTCGTTCTGTGCTTCTAATTCGTGACCGGTGTTTTGTTTTGTTCTCTCTCCACGCACGTCACTAATCACGCAACGCCGACGTCCGCTGGAAAGCCTTCCGCATATGACAGAATACCGGAAGTGAGAGAAAAGTGTTTATTATGTTTGAAATATGGATATTTTTCTAACGAAAACGCATGGATTTGCTACAGAAGGCCTTTACTCATGCCCCGGAGCCGTGTGAGGGACGTTTTATTACGGATGTGCGCACTTTATTTCACGTCTTCTGAATGGTTGACAACAAACACCCGCTTACCCCCATTGAAAGGCTTGGAGGGGCCAGGACAATTTTTAATATAACTCCGATTGGATTCGTCTGAAAGAAGAAAGTCATATATACCTAGGATGCTCCGAGGGTGAGTAAAACACAGGTTAATTTTCATTTTGGGTGAACTAACCCTTTAACATATGTCATAAACTGAAGCACAGATCACTTGAATGACATTCTTTCTTCTGTGGAACACAAAAGATCATATTTGGTGTATGGACCAAAAAAAAAAAAAAAAGACATTTTAGGAATTATCATCTTTATTAAGAACTGAAATGATTTTATAAAAGAGATGACTTAGAACAAATATGAATTTTATAATGTCTCTGCACTGCAGTGCCGACTAATTTTTGAAGATTTTAAGATGTTTTCGAACATTCTCATATGCTCATCAAGACTGCATTTATTTGATCAAAAATACAGTAATTTTGCAAAATATTATTACAATTTTAAAATATATTTTAAAATGTAATTTATTCCTGTAATGGCAAAGGTGATTTTTCAGCAGCCATTACTCCAGCCTTCAGCCTTCACATGATCCTTCAGAAATCATTCTAATATGATGATCTGGTGCTATATTTTATAATATTTCTTATTATTATCAATGATGAAAACAATTCTGCTGCTTAATATTTTTGTGGAAACGGTGATACATTTTGATGAATAGAAAGTTCAAAAGAAAATAATTTATTTGAAATATATATTTTTATAACATTGTAAATGCCTTTACAGTCACTTTTGATGAATGCACTACTGCATCCTTGCTGAATAAAAGTACTAATTTCTTTAAAAAAAAAAAATCTATTTCTAATATCCATTTTATTGTAGTGCTGGTGAAAATGTTGGCAGGCAAGTAACAATCTGAACTACAAGTCTGACTGGGCTAGCAGAAAAATCCTTATTGTTGAGCTCTGCAAATCTATTCAGTTCAAGAAACAATTGGATGATCACTGTGTGGCTTGTAATCAATAAAGTGGGCATGTAACATCATCTCCCCTGTCGAAACATTCATGTTCACAGTGCATCTGTGAAATTAAGAGTATGCAGAGAAGCTGCAGTGAGGAAAAGATACCTGAGAGGGGTCTCCTTGGGCTCTCTTCCAGGGGTCCTGTCGGTGGAGGCCTCCAGGGGTGAGGGCAGCAGGTTGAGGCATGATGCAAGGGATTGACTGGAATCCTCCCGTGAGGCTGTAACAGCAAATTAAAGAAAAAAAAAAGCTTCTGGGTGAAAACAAGATTTAAATTTCTTTATTTCCTTGAAATGAGGTGCTCGTTTATATTTTTTTAAACATTTTTGTAAAACAAACAAAATTTTGTACATTGTTGGGTCGCCAAATTGTCCAATGTGTAATCTGGGTCCTGAAGCAAAACCCTGATTTAGGGGTAGTTCATGCCAAAATGATTTTGTGCACAGGCGCTGCGATATTTATTTCTCTTGCGGAAAAAAAAAAATAAAAAAACTTCTTTAGTAAATATCAGCAATGACATTCGCAGTGTTTATCTGTCTAGAGGCTTTGCCTGTGGTGCATGTTAATGTGCAGCGTCACATGTGCTGATGTAACTCCTCCCCAAATATCAGAACATTTGGAAATTTAAGATGACATGACTAATTCATAATTGTATGCGTGCATAACTTTATGGTGTAATATTTTACAAGGTATTAAAATCTGAAGACTTGCCCATGTCTTCTTCAGCTAAAACTGGGGGGAATAAGGTCTCATCTTTTTTATCTATGGCAAAAATCATTTCTTCAAGCGATGCAGCTATTATAAGGGTATGTAATTACTATAACAAGATATTCAGAGATTTAACAGCATGAATATGAATGAGAGATAAACACCACAATACATGTTGAAGAGTCTGAAGCAAAGAGAAGAGAGCAACTGGAGTCTGGTAAAAACATACCGTGTTGAGGACGCTGGTCATCAGAGAGGTCAAGATCCAGCATCAGGTCATCCTCATCCAACTCAGATGAGCCAAGGTTATTCAAAACATCCTGGAAAAGGGAGAAAAACTATCATGCAAGGGCCAAAATAAAACATTTTTTGCTAAGGAGAGCTCCATGAATATGGCTCTGGGTCCATTTTACATTCCATGCCATAATTCACCAACAAATGGGGTTATGTAGTTTCACATATTTAATTAATTTATAATTAAAGAATATAGTATATATACATTTATAGTATGTGTTAATCTCAGTTCTTGCTGCAAATAAATTACATCTTTTTATAAATTCAGATATATGATCTAAACATATAAATGTATTATACATTTATTTTAATGTATTATTCATGATTTAAAAAATGTTAAAGTACATAGTTTATAATAATTTATGCATTTAGCAGACGCTTTTATCCAAAGCGACTTACAGTGCATTCAGTCTATATATTTTTTACCAGTATGTGTGTTCCCTGGGAATCAAACCCATGACCTTTTGCGCTTCTAACACAATGCTCTACCACTGAGCCACAGGAACATTTAGTTTAGTTAAAAAATCTAAATATTTTAATGGCATCTGTATATATTTTATACATACATACATCAATCATTTGTTTGTGAAGCAAAACTGGTAAAAATTAGGATCAGTAAAAATGTTATGATCAGGCCAATAGGAAAAAGAAATGTCCTTACTGTTAAGACCTGGTATCCATACAAGATTGATATTTTACTAGTTATGACATATTTAGAATCCAATGTAAAGTCTCTACTTTGCAGTTAAGTGACTAATGACTTTCTTAAATTCAGCCCAAACCTCCAGCTGTGTGTCATGGTCTCTTTATTAAAGCAAGATGACAAAAGAGGATTTAATTTGACTGAAAGACTCCTCCAGAGCAACCTTTCCACACATTCAACTAAACACAAAAAAAAAAATCCACTGTGCACTCAGGAAGCAGAAAACCTGTATATTGCTCAAACCAAAGTGTCACACTGCCATCTTGTGCCCAGCATGAGAAAACACCTTAAGATTGAAAGCTAAAGTAAAAAAAAAACTAATAATAATAAAACAGGGTCGTTTATTCTAGCACACAAACCAGACTCAGCAAAGCTCTAATATGGAGTATTTCAAGCTAATTCTATTTAAAAGTGCATGTAAAAGACAAAAAGGCAAAAGAGCCGCTATTATGTCCTATTAAAGAGGAAAAGCACAGCTCTGTGGCTAATTAAGCAAGACCGAGCAGCAAAGTAGTGGATAGTGCATCAGAACAGAAAAATGCCTTAACTTTGACTTTGCTAGAAATTAAAGGGTCACTGGGCACCTAATTAAGACTCTCAGGATATGAAACGGCCTGGCCTTTACCTCTGTGAAATATTACGATGCCAAATGACAAAATGAACATAATGCATCACTACTGTTACAATCTCAGTATGAATGTAATATTGATGAAGTGAATGGCCTTATTCAGTGACCTGTTCAGACAGCTTATTTAGATATATTAAAGAAGACCAGTGTCATGATTCATAAATGTCTTTGTGAACATAAATGGCCAAACACAGGTTGGTTTTGTGCATTAGCATGCAAAATGTCTCAATCAACAAGGTCAAAAAAGAGGCGATGAAAAGATAGTCTTTTTTTCCTCATGAGTTTATTTCTGAGGGATTGAGAAGGTAACAGAGAGCTGACATTTGGTGTGACTCACTCTCCATCTCCCGATGTTCAGATTGATTTTTCTGATCTTTTCATGTCAGTGTCAGGAGAAAACATGCTTTACTTATTAACGAAATATCCTGCGGCCCTTCGACAAAAAGGACAAAACAGTTCAATGCCACTGTAAACAACTTTTCCTCCCTTCGTATTTCAGAAATCACTTTTAAAAAAAATTAAAAAAAATAACTGTGAGAAAATAAACACAAACACTATTTGAGAAGGCAATCTAACAGGTTACACGTAAGCAGGTTATGCAAGTATACAACCTCAGACACATTCAGAACCAATCTGTGCTGCTACCAGAAATTCTTATGAGGGGTCAGAAAACATTTGCACAAATGTATCCAATGGATTAAGAAATGGCCTGAGTTTAACTCAGGGCACCCACACTTAAAGTCCATTGCAAGATGTTAAGAACATCTTAAGCCTCTTGGTACAGTAGTGAGATATTGAAGTAATGTTAGGGAGAAATGGTAAAAACTGAGACATGACATGGGATAGATTCAAACCCATTTTTCGCACATGAGCAGCAAGGGACATGTGTTAGTTTATGACACACAACAAAAGTTATTGGTTGCAAGATACAGCACAGGTTTATTCAATGGTTTAAAACAGAAAATCTCGCCATCTTATTTGAGGATTTTTTTTTATTTTTTTTTTATTAGTATAGCCAACACAGCTCAATTAATCTCATTTCATCTTTACATTTAGATTGCCTTTGTCATCCTCTAACACTTACCTAAAATAATATTTAAGAACAATAATTAAATAACACTGTTGAATGTTATTTTTAGCAAATTTGGTTTGTACAGGTTTCAATAACATTGCAGAGACAACCTCAATTAAAAAAATACCGGCTAATTTCAAGTCTAAGCCAAAACATATTGAGCAAAATAAGGCCTGATCCAATAAAGCAGCTTTCTCATAAGTGAAACTCAGGCCCTTTAGGCACATTCAGCTAACTAGCTGCTGCCAAATGTTTCATTCATCGGCAAGAACAAAGTCTCCTGCTCTACAATATGAAGGTTGATTGCAAGCTAAAAACAATTAGGCTGTATCAAGCAAGAACCATCTTGATGCAAATGAAGCAGCAAAAAGCAAAACAAAATCACCAAATGACACTTATGTGATTTACAAGCGTGTTGGCCAAAGATTACAGAAATGGGAAACTACTATAGTTCCTCAAATGTGAATGTTTGAAGAACACAGAGAGCAGTAACTGGCGTGCTTCCCCTGAGAGAAGTGAGAAGACCACAAGTTCTCACTGTGACAATGGAATACTTCCCTTTTCCTGCCTGTCTTTGTGTTTACATAAAGTTATACGAGTCATCCCCATAAAAAGTATGTTAATGAGCATTTACATTCTTTGGTGATTACAGACTCAGCTTAGAAAAATCTGCTAAAACTTTAAAACAGAATCCACACACACACATACAAATCTTTTTTAAGAGGGCTTAAAACAAAAATGAGTAGGTAGCAACTGGCTTTTAAAATGGAACATTCAGAAAACATATACACATATACATATATATATATATATATATATATATACACACACACACACAC